TTTGGTGGGGCAATATTGAATATCGTTCTTCTACATACTGTCTGAGTAAGTTTGGACTAGTTCTTAGCGTAGCCAGCAATATTGAATACTCCTAATGTAAATACTGTCTAAACGGAAATAGTGTCTACACAAAAGAAGGCTCTTTCTAAACGGCTCTTTCTGAAACACAAATCAAACTGAACCCACGGCAACTAAACTATCAATTAAAGTAAGACCTCACCAAGACTTAAGAACCACTGACTTCGTCCCCCTCACTCGCCATTTCTCCCCGATTATTTCCGAAACTCGCGAAGTAGGGTACTCCCCCCCCCCGCCCTCCCGCCATGGGAAGAAATGAACGTTAATGAAACCGTTTCGCGCGGCATTGCACAGAGCTACGGCATACATTACAAAAGGGAGCAGGAAATCGAGATGGTCACGTACGTGGACTACGTCGAGTACGACGGGCCGGCGTTCAAAGCCGGTATGCGGGAAGGCGACGTGATACTCTCCATAAACGGCCACGAAATGGACAGGGCCGACCACAAGACGCTGGTCAATTTCATAAAGAACTGTGATACCAGGATGCGGATGGTCGTGTCCTTCGAAGACTGCGTTAGAAAGGTGAGAAACCCGAACCACGCGGACACACCGCGCTTGTCGACCCCTCGAGAAATGGCCTTGGAGGAACGTTTACGTTCGTCGAATCAATTTTTAAAAAATATCAGCTCACAAAGGACGCTCGGACGAAAGTTTTTTATATTTACCGTTTGTTCATAGGTCGCTTGGTTTCGAAAATAAAAATTGAAACGTTAGAAGTTCGTTGCGGAGATGTACCTACTGTCTGAGTAAGTTTGGAGGTGGTCTTCCGAGTTTTCAATTTTTATCTCCGAAACTAAACGTCGCACGAATAAACTGCAAATAGAAAAAAGTTCCGTCTCGTCGTTCCCTGTAAGCTGGTAATATTTGAAAAATTCCTAGCAGTCGATGGGTTAATCGGCCGACGATATCTTCCAGGTGGAGCTGCACATGCGATACATAGAGCTGCAACGAGCCCTCCAATCGCGCCTCGGGGAATTGGAAAGACTCTGCGAGAGGGAACGGTCTATCCTCATGGGTCGATGGAAAACCCATTCACTGCCAGCACGCAAGAGAACGCCTAACAGCGGGGCCACGGGTAACCCCAATCAACCCTCGCCGTCGTCGAGTTTCAACTCGTCCACCATCCAGTGCTGCAGGCCAGCAACGTCCACGGAACATCTTCTGCTTTACAACGTGGTACTTAAACTTTCTTCCCATCGACGACCCTTTAATTCCAGTTCGCTGTTCGAAATTGCGTAATAAAACATTGATCGTGGGATTTATTCTTGCAACTTCAAGTACTCGGTACGAATTCATTTTCTTTGACGCTTAATAAGGAGGCAGCACTATTTTTTTCAAATTTTTCGGGAAATCAAAAATATACGTATTTATTACACGTATCGAACGACGACGCTACGCGTTTTCATAACCATAACAGAAACAGACCTGCATTCTTATTGCAGCACGTCCCTATACTAATCTTTTCAGTCCTTCGTCGAGAGGCCCTGTCGCCCATATATTCGACGCGTTGACGATTTTCAACCGAATTTCAACCGAATTTCAACGATCGTTGTTTTTCCAGTTCTCCGACGGTAGGCCATGCCTGGTGCCTCGAAACGCCGCCTGTTTGGTGGCAGTTGGACCGCCACGTTCCCGCAGCGATCACCACCACTTCCTCTCGAAGATGCCGAGCGAATCTGGTGTGACCGCCTCGTCGCGGCACAGCTACCACCAAGCGAACGGGATGAGCAGCACCCCGGCGAAGTCGAAATCGCACAAGTCCTGCCAGCAGCAGCAACAGCAGCAGCAAGCTGGCGCCAGTGGTGAGCCGTCGTCTCTGCACGCACCTCCTCAGAGCAGCCTCTGCGTCGCCTGCATATCCAGCGCCAATCGTCGCAGAGAACAATCGGACAACGGCAGTTTGGACGCTTACGACCTGGCTAGTCCGTGTTGCGATCCTAATTGCGTTCCCAGTCGTCGGCGCAGGGAGAAACAGAGGCGCGCGCGAAACGAACAGAATCACCATCAACAGCAACAGCAACAGCAACAACAGCAACAGCAGCAACAGCAACAGCAGCAACAGCAACAGCAACAGCAGCAACAGCAACAGCAACATCATCACGTGCAACGAGAGCAACCACAGCAATCGCAACACACCTCGCACAATTGCTCCAGGACGTCTGGTCACAGCCTGCACTCCATCACCAGCAGCGACGTCTCCACCATCGCCGACAGCGTTGCCTCCTGCACGACCAGCCTAAGCACGGACACCCTCTACTGGGATCCGTCGAACGTGCACCAACGGCCACCACCGTGCCTTCAGTACGCCAAGCCAAAGTCTTGGGACAATCTTACCACCAAGGCGTTCGGTGGCTATGGCTTCGGGTACGGCTACCTGGACACAGCCACCGCGAAGACGCACAGCGCCGAACGGCCGGGGAAGGGTTCCCACGGACGTGCGAAAACGCCGACTGGCACCGTTCAGAGGAGAACCAGCTCCAGCACCACGTATTCCGGCAGCTCCACCAGACACTTTCAGCCGAACAAGTCTACCGAGAGCCTGCTGATACCGCCGCCTTATCAGGCCGAATTGGACGCGAGCCTCAGCTGCGAATGCTTGGACGGGCCAGCCCCGCGTTGCGTGCCCGTCATCCAAATGGAGAAGCACGGTCGTCAGGAGGAGGCTGGGTACATCATCAGCACCCACACACAAGTTCGACATCGCCGGTCTAGCCATTCGGATGGGAAACTGAGGCCTCTAAACAATTCCGAAGCGACGCGACTCTAAACCGTATCTGGGGAATCGCAGCACGTGGTCCTGGCGAGTGGAAGAATTACTTGGGGAAGAGGTTCGACGAGTGGAACTCACTCGTTTGGTCCTGTATAGTTCCATCGCATGCTACACTCATTAATTCTGCGTTAATTTCGATACGTCGTTACATTTGTGATTTTTTGTTTTTTTTTTTTTTTTTTTGTTTTATCGAGATGGAACGCGAGCGAAAGGCTACTTTGTTGTAAATTCGTATTCGTATAAAAAAAAATTCAAATTTCCCGCGGGAAAGTGGTGTCGTCATGTAGCGGTGAACACGCCGAACTATTTTTTTGAGTTTAGTCAGCGCCTCTATCGGGAAAACGCTCAAGTTTGTCCCCAATAGTTCCTTTTTGCAACGCTAGATGGTCGGTAAGTATCATCTAAATCGCGCCATCTAGCGGTGACTGTTTGAACTATTCGACGACAAACTTGGGCGTTTTCCCGATAGAGGCGCTGACCATACTCCGAAAATAGTTCCTCTATTCGCCGTTAGGCAGCGACACTAATTTCCCGCGGGAAATTTGAATTTCTCTTCATTTAATTAAAGTTCATTAAAAGCATTTGTAGATACCATCCAGTAGTTTAAGAGTCTTTTTTTTTTCGTATAAATTAATACACTAATCAGTTTGTTTTTCGCTAGCGACCTGCACGAGTAGAGACTTTCTTTGGGGACGAGTAAAACTCAAACGGACCATATTGTAATAGGACAATAAACGAGATTCCGTGGGACGAAGTTTGCATGAAATTTATCGATATCCAAGGTATTACTATACCAAGGTATTACTATATCAGAACTATCTAAGGGACAAGTTTTCTAAAGAAATTCCCCTTAAAATGATAAACTAACGAGAAATCCCCTAAAACGATTCTTCGCCATCTTCGCAATTCCTCCACTTGCTGGGGCTTAATAAATTACTTGATTATTATCGTATCAGATCGCGCGACGAATCTGCATTTAAATCTTTATATCCAGCTTTGTATCGTGACAATGGAAACTGTGGCGTATAGGACAAAATTAGTATCGTATTGTACTCGTCGAACGATGGAAGAACGGACCACGTTTTTTGAAACTTTTTCGGGAATACATGTATCGGTTACGAGTTTAGTTTACCGAAATTAGTCCCCGACCAACGAATCATTTTTTAACGATGTTTTTCCAAAGAGATTATATAGATAGAAATTCGCCATTGCTTTCCTCCACAGCTTTCGGATCTTTTTTTTATTCTAGTCTGCAATATCTGAACGAAACAAATTCAATAAGATGGCCGTGCAACTTAAAAAGACCTACGACTCCTCAACTCTATCTATACAATTTCTTTGTATTTTTCAAGAATATCGACTCGATTCTTGTATCAATCAAGACTCTTTTTTATAATTGAATGGCCTGTATTAATTGTGCGATTGATCGAGAACAATTTTTAACCTATTATAAATGTCAATAGCTGAATATCATTGTTATTATAAAAAGTATAGATTACCAAACTGTATCATTTTGAAATTAAAGTGGTATGATTACCCTGTAACTCCTTGCGACGGCGAGATAGAACTAAAAAATAAACGAAAGTTTTTACGAGAATTTAAACTTACAATTCTCTATCACTTCGTTAGGTCTGATTGCGATAGTAAATGCAACAAATTTACCTACTATTTCTTTTCTTCGTTTCATTATTTTTGCTAAATTCGAAATCATAAATATTCGTTTTCATTAAATATCCTCGTCCGTACTGACCAATCAGATACGATTGAGTTTCACTAGACGATCTCGTTTCCCAATCTATATAACACCAAGTTTATGACTGTACGCGGGATTGTTTTGTAACGCGCACGAGATAGGTTATATTTTGATGTTTTGTATTTGAAAATATCGAAAGACTAAGAAATGTCCAGAAAGAAGCATAATGTTTCGTACATCAAACCAGACGAACCGAAATTTTTGCGGGAATTGAAAGAAGAAGTTGGTTATAAGGAAGGACCTACGGTTGACACAAAGGTACGGTTTATTGTGTTTCGATCAAATTTAAGTAGTACCCTTTTTTTTTTTGCATTTGCAATTGCATCTTACAAATAATTTTCTTTGACTAAAATTGTTTGCAATATATATGTAATTGAAACTACGAAACTCCAACTATAGTATTCTATACAATAATTATAATTCTCACCATTTTTTCTTAAATCATTAAGTATATTGTAATTAGTGCTTGTTTCTAACTAGCATAAACAGGCATTTAAATGACTTCTTAAAATAGAGAGAAGTATTACCACAAGATTCAGACGATGAACAGGAAGAACGTACAGAAGAGCAGCCTGTTGTGGTTGTATTAAATTCTGGTGATTTAACTGCAGAAGAAGCAGAAGCATTTAAAAAACAAAAGGAAGAAGGTATAGACATACTTTATTTTGAATATGTATAATTTGATTAATGACACAATAGGCATGTTGAGAGATAACTTATGAATTCTGAATTATAGAGGAAGCCAGTGCTCCAGCAGACTTATCTAAGCGTGTTATATTCAGGAAAAACAAAGTAGTGGAATCAGAATCAGATACTAAGGATAAGCCAGTGAAAAAGAAGATGAAAAAAACGAAACAAGAAAAGGCCATATTATCTTTCAATGATGATGATGATGATGATGATGATGATAATAATCTTTAGTATTAGAAGTATATACTTAAAATATACAAATTGATATACAATGATTGTTACGATAAAATGTTTGCAACCTTGTGACAAAGTGGTGTGTTGTAATTAACTAAATTATAAAATAGAATTTAATATAAGAATCGTATGTTTAGCTACTGACATGTATATAGTTGAATGTAAATATTATCCATATTTGTACATAAACCTTAAATTGTATTTCTCAATAACAACGTTAGAAATGTGCACGTAATGCATTTTCGAAACGTTGAAATCTGATATATATAAACTCATTTTAAGGAGAATAAAATGACATTATTTAATTACGTATACACGTAATTACGATGCTTCGCAAGTTCAACATTCTAATAAAAAAACAAATAACGCAAAACGACAGGAAATCCGTGATACAGTTCTATTGCTTCGTGTAGTATAATACATATATATATATATATAAAAAAATCGAGGACTATACAATAAATTCGACGCAAACAAGAGTTACGAAAATTTTAAACAAATTCAAGATGATCATTTGGGAATATCATGGCGTTCGGTAAATGATCCCATAAAATAGGGCAGGATTTGTTTAGTCAACCCCATTATTACACATTGTTACAATTGCAGATTGCCCTTATTCTTGGGAGGGCCTCTCATTGGATGTGCACGTGTACCCGGTCACGTGACAATGTATAACAAACGCTACTGGTCGTTTTGTCCCTTTAACATTACGCGTACGTCATAAAATTTGCGGTCACGTGATTATTGTCGCCATCTTGGCAGTTTTCGACGACGGAGGTAAGAAGGATCCGTGACGTCGAACCCAAATAAACACAAAGTATATGTGAATAATTTTCGTTGAAAAATCGTGTGTATCAAGTGCCGTGAGAGTCGCGTGTGTAGCCGAATATTTGTCGGTGTTCCGTACGGTCAGTGAATTTAAATAGCGCGGCATTTGCGATGCGTGTGTGTTTCGATTATTGGTCCTCTTTTGGGGGGATAATCGCGATCGGCCAGCGACCACCACGGCAGCTGTTCGACAGCTAAGCCAGCCCTTACGAAAGAAATGGCGGGAGCTTTCTAAATTTCGTTAAAACAGTAATCGACGTCTTGCCCGCCCTTTGATCGGTGCACTAAAACAATTTATATAAGACGCCAAAAGACATGCGATTGATTTGTTGGATTTTATGATTTGTATAGTTGTGGTACCGAATAACACAATATAACCAGGGCCGTGACGATCCTCTCAATTCCCCCTGCGCATCCCCCATGCACTGATTCCTTTCTAAATACACACGAGTCTCTGTTCCATCGCGACGAACATGTATGTTAATGTTGCACTCCTCTCGGTAACTTCTGCTACGAATATTTTACTATCGCCATGGCAATAAGATTTAATTTTGATACATCGATCGGTACCGAATAAAAGCGAACGGCACGATTCAACTTTTGTTTCGACTAAATACAGGGTGTCCCAAAAATGTTGTAACACCTTGAAAGGGGTGGTTCAGGCGGTGCCATTCAAAACAACTTTTTCCTTGGCAAAAATATTGTCCGAGGGTTCGTTGAGGAGATATTAACAGAAAACACTGACCAATCAGAGCGCGAGTATGCCGGTAGAGCGGCCGCGGTAGCGAAGGCTACGAGCTTTCACGCGAACAACTGACTCGACGTGCATCGAAGGAGATTGACGCGGCTGCTCAGTGTGTAGCCTTCGCTACCGCGACCGCTCCAACGGTATACGCGCGCTCTGATTGGTCTGGGTTTTCTGTTAATATCTCCATAACGAAGCCTCGGACAACATTTTTGTAAAGGATATTGTTGTTCGGAATCTTTTCAGCTAACCCCCATTTCCGGCTCCTACACGACTTTTGGGACACCCTGTATTTGTCATATGTGTATGATAACATATGCACATATGACATATATACAGGGTGTCCCAAAAATGTTGGAGGTCTTTGAAGAAGGTTCGAGGGGTGATTTGAAACAACTTTTTCCTTAGCGAAAATGTTGTCCGAGGCTTCGTTGAGGAGATATTAAGAGAAAACTAAGGAAAAAGTTGTTTCAAATCACCTCCCGAACCACCCCTTTCAA